TTATTATAATTTTCATTACAATAAAGTATATTTATAATGCAATGCCTTTATCACTGCTTAAATACTATGAAATATGTTGCGTGCCTTATTCTGTGTAAGAAGCCACATCATCTCACAGAAGGATTTATTTCAAACACTCGACTGATGTTATGAAGTGAGTTTGGAGTAAAAATATGTTATTAAATGTGGTATTTTCACTTGCTTTCAAATGGAGCAACATTTACTTCACAGAGCCGTAGTTCACTGAGAAGCTATACAAACAGCTGTCATTATCGCGAACGATTTCTTTGATTTCATAATCGCGCAATAAAATCGTCTGCGATTTTTTTGCGTAACTTGTCAGTGAACTACGGCTCTGTGCAGTAAATGCTGCTCCATCTGAAAGCACGTGATGATGATTTACTGCTGATTACAGAACCGGCTTTACTAACTAAACGCGCATGACAATCACATTCGATTAATCGAGCAGCCCTACGTCACAGCATCCTTGTATGTGCTAAATTTTCTTTGTTTACCACATTTTAACTACATGTTCTGTTGACACTCCTCGAACTGACAAATTGTTACATTTACAAAAAAGACTATGTGAAAGAGGGGAGAAATATGTGTAAAAAAAAAAAAATTTTAAATAGCAAACACGGGGGAAAAAAATACACACACAAAAAATATATCCGACTTATATTTCACCCCAAGATCAAAATTAAAAAAAATAAAAAACATTAAGACAGTTATAGACATTTTCTCATAACTGTCATTACCATAATGCTAATAATAAAATAAATAAATAAATGACATTATTGCAAAGCAATAATTTGTACATCATAGTAGTGAACTTACATTTAAAAGTGTGTGGTCGGTAAGATTTGCTAAATTTTTGAAAGAAGTATCAATTTAAAACAACATATTAAAACAATAACTGTTTTCTATTTGAATATATTGTAAAATGTATTTGTTTCTATTATAATCAATATATAAAACAGTCATATGATACTATTCAAAAGAATCCTGCAAAAAAAATGGTAAGTTCAAAAGAACAGCATTTATTTGAAATAGAAATATGATCTGTTAACATTCCTCTTTTGCAACTAAATGCTGCTCTTTTGAACTTTTGATTCATCAAAGAATCCTAAAATAAAAAATAAATATTGCGGTTTCCACAAAAATATTTTCCTGATCCTTCAGATATCATTCTAATATGCTGATTTTCTGCTGAAGAACCATTACGGTTATTATGAAAACAGTTATGATGCTTCTTATTTTTGTGGAAACTGTGATTCATAAAAGAATCCTGAAAAAATAAATGTATGAATAGTAGGTATTTTATTTGCAAAGGTATTATATTTTTAAAATTAACTTTACTAATTAACTAAAATTAACAGCATCATGGTAATGAGAATTTGGGGTTTGAAATATGCTTAACAGCCCTGAAAAAAGTTAAAAACATCTTAACTGGTCAAAGCAGAATTCATTTTCATTATGTTTGTTTTGATTTTGGACTGAATGTTGACCTGGACGTGTTTCCTGAGATTCACTGTGCATCTGTTGTGAGCTGGCCTAGCATGCTATCATGGAAAATCCCATGTAAAGCTGATTTACAAACTAGTCCTTTCTTTTCAAAGACCCATAGGAAAAGGACTTATGGAAAAAGCCATCAGTGAAGTTCAAGGGTCTGAGCCGCACACTCAAAACAAGAAGCGCTGCACGATCAGCAGGACCTTCAGACACAGACGATACTGCTATTGGCACGTGTTCTCAGCTGACTAAACACCGGCTAGCAGCACAACAGGGCCGGTCATGTGATATTATTCACATTCTCAGATGTTTATGTCCCACGCCTTTAAAAACTGACAGCTTTTCTAAACCCGGCGACCTACATTCCTCAGCACGCCCATGACGGAAATGTCACAGCTCATTGATAAGAGTGAAACACTAATCGGCCACTAATTGTGTGAGTCTGATGGTAAAAGAAGCAGGTTTTTCTTCATTGTGCTGTATAATAAAAGAGACAGAATCAGGTAATGAACCCGTCTGATCTGCAATCTTACATCGGGGAACCAAAAGGCACCACACCCGAGAACTCTGGGAAAAACCTTAAAAGTGCCTCAAAAGAGAGATACAAAATAACGACAACAGAAGGAAGCTTAGACTGATAACTCGAATACAAAGGCACCACTGCCCTAGGAAGTACGACATGAACTTCACAGTAGACAATGTCAACAACATGCTAGTACTATAGTAACGTATCCAAAAAACATGGTATTACCATAATGCAGGTACAAAAAGCATGGCATTGTCATGATAGATGCCAAGAACATGGTATTACCATGGTGCAAGATCCAAAAAACCATGCTATCGCCATAGTATAAGTGAAAAAATGCATGGTATTACCAAGGTGCAAGTTAAAAAAAGAAAGGAAAAAAAACCTTGCCATGGCAGACGTCAAGAACATGGTATTACCATGGTACCAGATAAAAAAAAAAAAAACACCATACAAGTAAAACAAAAAAAACATGGTATTACCATGGTACCAGAACCAAAAATACATGCTATTGCCATAGTTTAAGTGAACAAAACATGGTATTACAATGGTGCAATTTTTTAAAAGCATGTCATTGTCATGATAGATATCAAGATCATTGTACTACCATGGTACCATATCCAAAAAACGTGGTATTGCTACTGTACAAGTTTAAAAACATGGTATTACCATAGTGAAAGTACAAAAAGAATGCCATTGTCATGACAGATGTCAATAATATGGTATTACCATGGTATCATATACAAAAAAAACGTGGTATTTCCATAGCACAACTCAAAAAAACATGGTATTAACAATGTGCAATTTAAAATAAGCATGTAATTGTAATGATAGATGTCAAGAACATGGTATTGAACATGGAGTCACACCCAAACAAAACATGCTATTGCTATTGTACAAGTTAGATACAAATAGATGGTTTCACCAGATATAAGAAAAAAAAAGCATGTCATTGCCATAATAGTCACAATTTGGTCATAACAGAGCAAAAGCATAGTTTATTTTTTGGTACTTTTCTGTTGGTGAGAGAGAAAAAAAAGACTTTAAAAATAGTGACTTCAATAATCATCAACTCGTGACATTTTCATTTAGAGCCGTTTGCAGAAAACACTGACAGGTGAGACCGAATATTATTAGACTAATATATAATAAAGACTGGATGTCATTTTAACAGAGCTCTCACAGAGAAATAGTAGCAGCTGAGTCCTAAAACAAGGTTTTGTTCCTTGAATAAATGCACAGAGAACAGCTCTCATCTGGAGGAAAAGGTCATCTGATGAAAATATTCTGCTGGAATTCCCGACTCTGTCCCACATGCTGGATAAAACACTCTTCTTTCTGCTTGACTGTAAAACTGTGTGTGCTTGGAGGGCGGTGAAGCAATGCTGGAATAAGCAATAAGCAAAATATCGTTTGTCTGACAAATGCAGAACCACCCAAATGCCCCACAACGTCCCAGCAGATGCCTACATACAGCAGCCAATGACAAAATGAGCATCAGTGAACACTGCACAGATCACCACACTCCATTCAGGACGGGAACCCAATCCTGAGGACTTTAACTACTGTGGATCTGATTTCACAAATTTCAGGAACACACGCTGAAAAGTTTTGAGAGTGACAACCAAGCAGCCTGTTTGGTTATTAAAGGCATTGAAGGTAAATTACTGTAACCTGTCAGACATGCATTGGTATTCATGCACAGGTGCAGCTGATGAGAAATTCCCAAGACTGCAATGGTCATATCTGAAAAGCACATTGATATTTCACGTTTTCAGCTCAGAAAATACATGAGAATCAAACTATAACATTGCTACATATGTACATATAGAGAGCAAAACTATGGCTGCACGATTTGGAGGAAAAATAATTTTCTGACAAAAATTGCAATTATGATTTCTGATGTAAAAAAAAGAGCTGGAGGTTTGCTGTGCAAACCAAAAAGTTGGTTATTACATATCAATATGACTATAGAATAATAATAATAATAATAATAATAATGATTAAATATAAAAATATTAAACAAAATAAGAAATATTACCACCACAATTTTTCACTGCAAAATAAAAAAATATTTAAGAAAAAAATATGATAATTTTATTTTACAGTACAACTGTAAAAAAAACAACAACTAATATTTATGTCTAATTTTCAAAAATTAAACCATCATGCTTTTTTTATTTTGGCTGCTCATGTGTAAATGAACACAGTGTTACGCTTTTGCTCTGAAACATGCTGTTAAATTAAATTAAATTAAATGATATTTAATTAACTCTCAGTCTATACAATAAACTACCCAAAGCTAATGCACTGTGAGTGTGCCACGGTACAGCAATGTTATCAGAGGATAATACCAAGGTATTTTAATATAAACTAGTGGTCGACCGATATGGGATTTTTAATGGCCGATGCTGATGCGGATATTGAAAAATCAATCTGGCCGATATGAGGCCGATATAATGCATGTAATTACAGTAAATGAGAGGCATGCAGAAAATATATTTACATATATAGTTAGTTTACAGAGCAACAGGTTGTTTTAATTATAGTTTGGAATAGTTGGTTAATAATAAAGATTTATGTCTCTGATCTGTTTTGTTTTGCTTGTCGGTTTCATTGTAAAAAATAATACAAGCCTGAAGGCATATAATTACATGTTTGGTTATCAGCATAAAGCAGCATTAAATGCCTCATTCTGCAGTGCACCGGCTTTTGAGTCCACCGGAAAACAGCATCTTTTTTAGAAATAACCGAGAACAGTGTGCATTTCTGAGGAAGAGACTGTCGCGGGATTTTTGATAGTTTTTGAGGTAAACACGGTTTCATTTTTGTTTGAATTCGTTCATATCACATCTGTGTCTCCCACCGGAGCTGCCACTGGACTGCGGATCCAATGTCTCACGGTACGTTTGAATAAGACTTTGCTGCACGCCGGAGTGTTTGCGTCACGTTAGAAAGTGAATGAGGATTGGTCATTTTACTGTCTGTATGGTGCTGGCTTCACATCTGAGTGGCTTGTCTTAAGCATAAATGCACGATATGGTGTCATAATCCGTTTTGAAAAACATCGGCCAGACGGAAAGACTTATCGGTCGATGCAGATATTTAAAAAATTCCAAATATCGGGCCGATATATCGGTCGACCACTAATAAAAACTACAGGTTAAAAGTTTGCACACATCGACTCATCCTTTATTACTGTTTTTCACATTTTGGAACAATGTAAACAAGACATCAAAACTATGAAATAACACAAACACAAGTATATGACTTATGTGACTAAAACATGTTTTCTGAGCGTCTCTGTGCACAATTCACATGAGTTCACATGTATTGTTGCTTTTTAGATCAATGATCATGTGACAAATTCAGTTAAGTGCGGCCAAGTTTTGACCATGGTAATGTAATTTACACAAAAGCAATGTACAGTATCATGGTACTATCATGTTTTTGGACTATAGCACAGTTTTAAAAAATTTGGGAGTGCCTTGTAACTACTATGTTAAGTGAATTTCAGCACCGCGGTATTGCAACCTGATCCCATGACTGTACCATTGGAACTTATCATATTCATGCACCACAGTATTTGCATGTAACTCCAAGGTAAACATACTTCAAGTATTACTACGGTATAACTATGGCATTACCATGATAGATGTACATAAAAGCATGCTATTACCATGGTACATGTCCAAAAACATGGCAATACCATGCTCCTTTTTTACACCATTTGTACACAGCTATGCAAGAAAATTATCAGAGAGAATCCACCCATCTCTGGCTGCGTGTGTGTAAAATATAGCACTATATATATACTGCACAACTGTATGACTCACTCTTACCACTGAAAGCAGAAGGCAGAGAGAGAGAGAGAGAAAAGGAAACTGGTAGAAGTGAAGTCATTTATTGGCACTAGAGTGTGATGCCCATTTTCCACAGGCAGTTCCTCATCGAAGAACACCAGAATAACAACAACCTCTTTTTAACTGCCATTGCATTTTTTGCATCATGCATTTTCTGAGCAAGAAATCCCGTCATGCATTTCTCTACTCATATTTGATGAAAAGATGCACCTACGTCTGCATGAAGTCATGATTTCCTCTAGTGTTCACAGTGGGCTGAATAAGCAAGTGGCTGTGTTAAATAAATCTGTAAGTCTGCTGCGTATAGCACTTCATTATGACATGCCCAATCTGAACAGCTGCAGCCATCTGTTAAAACTCAAACTTCCCATTTGCCATTGGGACCATCAATATTAGCCTGAGTTTATAAAGACATAAGACAGATGCATGAACGTGTTTGAGGTTGTTCAGCCACTAGCAGTTTCAGTAATAAGAGGATTTATGCTAATGTCTACAAGCACCATGTCTGCTTACATCAGCTTTCAGCTGACAGACACAGCACATTTTCATTGTTATAAATATATTTTATTATATGAGCACTACTAACATACGTTCCAAAATTTTGTAAGCTGACTATTTCGGCATCATTTTGAGGCATAATAGATTCATAAAAATAAAAAAAACGCTTTAGTTTTCAAATTATAAAGCAGTATTAGCATGTATCATTCACAGAGAAGGTGATATCAGAAGGCATTGCGACAGGCTTGGTGAAAAAATTAATCCAAGATCCAAACATTATAGATTAAAAACTAGTTCAGTCTAATTACAAATGCAGTATTTCAACCAATATTTGTGTGCGCCATGTGTTTTTATACTTATTTGAGAATCACAGTGTTAGCTTAGCAACATGCTAATACCATGCTCTGTTGAAAATCAATTGAGAGTCAAGTTTCTTGTGCAATTTGCATTCATGAGCAAAACCAAGACATAGCTTTACGTAACAGCTCTGGGCATGTGACCAAAAGCGCAGATCTTATTGGCTAGCCAGTTTTATTTGTAGTGCAATGTACAAGAGACTAGAAAACCTTTCTGTAAAAAAAAAAAAAAAGTCAGATTGATATCTTGCAAATGTTCATGTCGGTCTGAACCAAAACCGAACCAAATGTTCGCACCAAATATTCATCTTGATGTAAACAGGCCTTTACTCATGGAAAAACAGAACTTCTTCAGCCAATCAGAGACATAAATAAGATTCTGTAGGTGAAAATTAGGTCCTGATAATGGCATTAAGGGCCGCTCACAACAAGTATGATAACGATAACTATAAGTTTTAATAATCATTCTAATTCAGTAAGAATAGTGAAGTCCACACCACAACTATAACGACACAGTGGAATATCACCATTGGATTTTCTTTCCACCTGATGAACAATGAAAACATTGACAGCCAATCAGAATCCACCCGACTTGAAAGAGCTCCAGCATTTAAAGCAGCAGACAATAAAACAGCAATGCACTTACAATAAACAGACCATTATATCGAGCTTTGATGTGGACGCTAATATAGTTATCGTTCTTGGTGTAAACTGGCCTTTCCATCAATCGCCCTGATTGACACCCTGAAAACTACCTTCAAAACACAATAGAAGCTGCAAAACATCTTCAGAAGGGCCAAAATATCCTCAAGAACTGAACAGAGACCAATGTAATCCAACCAATTCTTGAATATGACCGTTTCGGCACTGAGGTGGTTAACTGAGCTTCTACTCTGAGCAAGCGTAAATGAGTTTGGGTAACCAGCGCACTTACAGCACGTGCCTCATCCGGATCCACCTTATAGCGTCTGGGCAGCGTCTCCACCTCTTTGATGTCATCCATCGTGATGTCATTGGGAAGCACGGCAAAGAGTGAGGTCACATACATGATGATGGACTTCTTATCCGGCAACTGCACCGCCACATCTGAGAAACACAGAGAGAGAGAGAGAGAGAGAGAGAGAATGAGTATGAATATGGGTGTGTGTGTTTATGGAGTTGCTCTATGAGGCCCCTCTGATTAGTTATTGCTCATGTGAACTTGTGTTCAGGAAAAGCCATGTAATCCAATCAAGTCCAGATGATTAGTCTCAGGAATGCACTGGATGCTGGTTTGTTGACTGGCATTGTTTCATTGGGTTGATTCCCTGCTTCAGGCATAAATGAAAAGATCTCATAACAAGATCAACATCACGTCAGCTGAAGATGATGGTCAAGCACGCTAATGACTCTGTACACTAAAAGTAACTTTCTGCAAAATTGTGTTGGCAAATAAAGTCAACTGTTGATTAGGGCTATACAATTAATCAAAATAAAAATATGGAAAATAAAATCAAGATCGAGATATGGCTTAATGTGCTTATCAAATTGCAAAGGCTGCAGTTTAATAAAATAAATACATGGGCTGAATGTTTTAGAGTGAAGCGCAGCACTGTGTTCATTTACACGTGAGCAGCTCATTATCCGCCGTTATAGTATGCCTTTGGAAACTCAACATGTGCAACCATCTCCTCAAACTTTTAATGAGAAACTCTCATGAAAGAAAAGAGAACCTTTAAGGGCTCCCAATGGCATTATTCACCAATGGCTTAATGTTTGAAATTAAGACAGCCAGAAATATTAGCATGTAATGCAATAAATAGTTTTTCCTAAATACTAGATTTAAAAAAAAAAAAAATATATATATACATACAAAATAAAATCTTGTAATAAAAAACTACCAAACATTAATCAAATGTATTTGAGAATGGAAATATTATTTATACTAAATAATTCATGAATTAATTTATGAAAATTTGCAGGGAGATAATTTTTAGTATTTTTATATTTTATTTAATAATCATCTTAATTATTATTATTTTAATATCCATATAGATAACCTAACAAAAATTTGGCCAAATCATGCAGCCCTTCAAAAAAGCACAAAAAACGCATCGCATTTGCATTTAGCTTTCAGCTGGTCACTGCAGTGAATCCACATGACCAACTTCACCAAGGCTGCAAAATCTGTATGGCCCTATTGCGCGTGAATATCTATTTAAACAGCTGGATTTTTTTTTTTGGAGCAGCTGTAGTGCCACGATGCTTCTTTACCTTCCGCATCCAGTAGTCTCTCAATGTTGAGCTGATCTTTGGCAAATGTGAAAGCGTGGTCCAGCCTCTCCACAGGGGTTAGATGAACTACTTCCTCCCAGCTGAACCCATGAGGCCTGAAACACAATTCACAACAAGAGTCTAAAGTGAGTGTGTGACCCATACTTGGAATTAGTGCTCTGCATTTATCCCATCCAAAGTGCACACACACAGCAGTGAACACACACACACCGTGAACACACACCCGGAGCAGTGGGCAGCCCGGGGAGCAGTTGGGGGTTCGGTGCCTTGCTCAAGGGCACCTCAGTCGTGGTATTGAAGGTGGGAGAGAGCGCTGTACATTCACTCCCCCCACCTACAATCCCTGCCGGTACGAGACTCGAACCCGCAACCTTTGGGTTACGAGTCCGACTCTCTAACCATTAGGCCACGACTTCCCCACACTTCCCAAAAAGACCGTTCACACATGCAGCAACAAACTAACCTGAAGTCATTCACCGACAATGAGAGCTGACATGAGCAAAGGTTCAATCGAACACTCACTTCTAAATATTAGGTAATCACTTTGATTACAGAATGCACTTTTGACTCTCTTTCGAAACCAAACTGTGTGAACAGAACCAATTTTAGGATTGACAACCACATTTCTGCTGTGTTGTGGATGAAGCCCACAGATCTACGAGCTCTTGAAGACATTCAAGCAGGTCCACATGAATCTACATCTGCAAACTTCTGTCATTCATGGCTACACACCCTTGCGTGTTTGGTTATTAAATATTTGCTGATCTGACAACTCTTCAGGTGTCAATAAGGGTGTAGTACTAACCTCTGTTTAACACACTTTGTTTAAACTTATTATGCAGATTTTCCCACTAAACCAGAACAGAAAATGCTGAAGAAGTCTGGATTACATCAGGACCTACCAACTTGTTCTCTTCATCCACAAACATTTTACATTGCTTACATAAGTTAATAAAGATTTTAGTGATTAATGTGCAAATATGCATACAAATTTCAAGTCGACAATCAGCTTTGTTTTTTTCTCTACTTTTCCATCTGCTGTTACATTTATGTTTAAAAAATAAGTAAAAATAAAGAGCTATAGTGCTCAGACACATTGAGTTGTGTGTGTGTGTGTGTGTGTGTGTGTGTGTGTGTGTGTGTGTGTCTGTGTTTCGGTTCCTGCAGGCTCATGACATGATCAACCCAAACAGACTGAACAGCTTATGAACACAAAATCTCACCAGAACAGAAAATGCTGAAGAAGTCTGGATTACATCAGGACCTACCAACTTGTTCTCTTCATCCACAAACATTTTACATTGCTTACATAAGTTAATAAAGATTTTAGTGATTAATGTGCAAATATGCATACAAATTTCAAGTCGACAATCAGCTTTGTTTTTTTCTCTACTTTTCCATCTGCTGTTACATTTATGTTTAAAAAATAAGTAAAAAAGAGAGAGAGAGAGTGTGTGTGTGTGTGTGTGTCACCTGAAGTGGTGTAGGATGGCGTTAAAGGCCAGGCCGTCTGCCCAGCTGGTGGTGAAGTTGAGCACGTTGACGCTGCTATAGTTGCGGGTGCAGTTTCTCACCCAGCTCAGCAAAATCTTCTCACTGTTGGTCTGCTGAAGACTGGACATCACATCCTTCATGACGTCCTTAACCTGCACACACACACACACAGATGAACGTTAGACTATGTTAGTGAGGACATCTGACTTCATTTAAGGATAAACAGCACATGGCCCATTCATAAAAAAAATTTTCATAGTGAAAGCACATCAAATGTCCTCACAGGTTTTTGTCATTTTTGCTTTTGACATTTGAACCTCGAAAGCAGCAAAACCCATATACATACAGTACATCTCAAGTCTATGAAAAATGTTTCAGAAATAGGTTTGCACATAAAGAATCCAGATTTAAGAGCTTTGTGGGTGTTTTCTGACCTGCCAGTGCAGTATGATACTCCAGATGAGTCCGAGAGTGAGCTTATGATTCCCATCGACAATATCAGTCCCTCCGATATTCACCAGGTCCACCTGAAAAATAAATCAAACAAAACAATAAAAAAAACAGAACAAAACGTAAAAAAAATAAACAATAAAAAAACAAGACAAAAATTACATATATATATATATATATATAGCACATTTCCAGTAGGACAAATAAATAACAAATGTATTTAAGCTGAGAGGCAGTTTGTTTAAAAAAAAAAAAAGGATTCATTAATAATTGTTCCCGGTTCACTGTGAAAATTCATTAATCCAGGGAAGAAATCAATTACAAATCCACTTACACTAAAATACACTTTACAGGACGGTTCCACTGTTAACATTACCGCATTACACTAAAAAAAAATACTTATTTATAACATTTACTAACATATAATTAAAATCAAAAGTTACATCTGTTAATATTATTTAATGAACCTGAGGTAATTTAAATGTATTTTATTACTCAACATTAACAAAGACACAATTTAGTTTCTTAGTTCAGTAACAAAGATGCTGAATTGCTCATTGTTAACGTCAATTAATACATTAACTAACACTAACGAATGGGACTTTACTGTAAAGTATTACCAAAAATTATTTTCATAATCTTTTTAAAGTGAAAGTAATAACTTTCTCCACCTCTGAATGACTTTTTGACTAACATAACCACAGTTAAAAATAGATCCGAGTCTGGCCTACATTATTTCCAACTAAACTCAAAACTATGTTACATTACAAGAGTTAAATGTTTCACACGGTGTCACGTCTTGAAAGTTGCGTGTTTCCATATGGAATATATAAATATACACAGTTGTTTCTAATTAGGGGAGTGAATCCGACGGTTCGTCACGATACGATATGATATTGATTTTAATACCCAGCGATACGATATATGCAGATACCCCAAAAATCTCTACGATACGATTTGATTCAGGGAGTATATCGATCGATATTATGATATTATGTACCTATTTTACACAACCTGCTACATTTCTATTAACTCACAAATGCAGGGCTCAGTGCTAAGAATCTTTTCTGAATTACAAGAAAATAAATACAAAGGCACAAATGAAATAAACGGTGCTTTTCAGGTTTTTCAGGAAGGTAATGAAGAAATCAAATGTAAAACAGCCTTCATAGTCTTCACTGGATAAATGAAATATAGATTCATCCTTATTAATGTTACAGACGTTATTCAGTCAAGACAGCATTAGGATTATTATTAGTCTGCTTTCACTTTAAGAGGAATGCATGGATACTGATACACACATGGTTTCTTTCTCAACTGTTCACGTTAAGATATAAGCGACTGTGTTTATTAGGATATTCGCCAAGACGCGCATTTTGATGTAATTTTGTCTGTATTTGTATCCGTATCGATGGATCGTCACACCCATATTTCTATCCTGCTATTACTGACTGGGAGAAAAGCGGCCGTTTAGAGATGATTACGGGCCGCTGGTGTAAACATGCCTATCTGACAGACAGATAATCTCACTGTGCTTACTGGTGTAGATTAACCAAACCTACACTAAAGCATTCGACTTAAGCGGTCATATATGCTTAGAGAGTCACCAGCGTTTAGAGAGCCAACTCAACCTCATAATGAGTGCGTAATATTCAAAGAACGTAATCAATCAACAGCAGCGTCACTAAATATGTGGCTGCATTTATGAAAGATTACTGGAGGATCTGCAAAGCTATGAAACGCCACATAAACCTGCATTAGCCTGACACAGATCCGCTTTTATCGGTCAAGAGATTAAAACACAGGAAACTGTGCTGTGAGAATATTTACCGCTCCGCTAATTACAGGGTAACAATATATACTTATATCACACAGGACAATTAATCATCCAACGTTAGGCTGTTTTTGAGACTTTTTGGCATTCCTGTTGCTGCTTTTCCTTTATAGATTGTTTTTTGTAGGGCTGTCAAACATACAATTTCTGTGATTATTGTTTTTTTTTTTTCTGTTTAACAGATTATTTTCTTTTTATTGTAAAAATTAGTGGTCAAAAATTGACTAACAGCTCTCATTCAAGCAAAGAGAGCTAATATTCTGGTATTGATAGAGACAGAAACATCACTATAATAAATGCACAGCTAATACATTTATTATAATGGATTTATGTGAGTATTTTTTAGTTAAAAAAAAATATATATATATACATATATACACTGAACAAAATGTAATTATAGGAATGTTGAATGGCTATATTTAATCATTTACCCCAAGAAAATGCCATTAAATAAATATACTGTAAATAAAATATACTGTCTTTATGACATTTCTACATTAATTTGGAGATTCAATGTGAAAATATTTATGATTACAAATTTCATTGTCAGGTGCGATTAATCGCGATTAATTACAGAAAAAAGTGTGATTAATAATTTTTTTTTTCAATTGTTTGACCGCACTATTTTTTTTTTTGTTGTTGTTGCAAACCTATATTAGGTGTCATCAAAAATGCATCTAAGTCTAGAGACAGATTTATGAATCATGCTCGTTTTCTCTTAAGTGAACATTAAAATTTGAGTGAATTTTGAGTAAATGGACTGGTTGCACTGAGCTTCATAATGTACTTTGTTAATTTATGGCTTGACATGGCATTATTGCAATGCTGATTTTAAAATCTAGTCAGTCTTTAAAGCATAATGCAGCTGATCTGAGACAGCAGTGGGTGGCAAACATATGAGCAACTGCAACTACACCCTACTGCTGGGACACCCGAGGAGCCCGCCATCACACATAACCATAACAGCACAGCTTGAGCTCCCTTAGATTGATTAAAGCTTTTAAAGAAGTCTCTTCTGCTCACTAAAGATGCATTTATTTGGTCATAAATACAGTAACAAAAACATTTAAAATACTGGTATTGTGACAGCACTAAGTCCACTAAGGATGATCTGGAGCATGAGTGAGTGCAGTGTGTGAGAGGAAAAACACACCGTTTATAGCATCTGTGTGTGTGTGGTTCTGTTTAGTCAGTCTGACCCCGGGCCAGCGAAGAGTAAAGACAGAGGACATGTCAAAACGACACACTAATGTCCCTAAAAGACACGCAGGAACTGTAAAGCCTTTTAATTAGCCTGCCCTTGCTGTACGTTCCCTAGGCAGCGTCTGTCAGCTGATACGAGGCATGAAACAAAACTAATTTCCTCCCGCAGCAGAAGCCCAGAGAGTCAAGCAGCAGCAAGGACACACGGGAAGGAAGAGAGAGAGACTCACGCTGCTCTGATGAAGGACCTGCAGCACGCGGTTGACGTTGTTGAGGGAGTGAACTCTAGTAGAACCTCGCTCTTTGGTCTGAGAGACAGAGAGAGAGAGACAGAGAGAGAGAGAGAGTTACGCTATACAGACACATTCACAATTGTACAGTACAAAACAGTGCCACAGTATTACTGTGTTTTTGAACATGCTCATGAAAGACCTTGCAATAGGGCTGAGCGAAATGCACAACCATTCAAAAGTTTGGGGTTGGCAATGCTTTCGAAAGAAATCTTACTAAAGCTGCAGTTATGTGATAGAAAAAAATGATAAAAATCAGTAATATTGTGAAATATTATTACAATTTAAAGTAAGTGCTTTCTATTTGAATATATTGTAAAATGTAATTTATTTCTGTGATCAAAGCTGAATTTTCAAAGCCAGTCTTCAGTGTCACATGATCTTCAGAAATCAGTATAATATGCTGATTTGCTGCTCAAGAAACATTT